AAGAAAAGCAGGGCAGGAGTCCATCTTAATGTGTATGGAAAACACATACATATGTGAACACAGAGTCATAGGTTCTGGCCTGATGTCAAGCAGTGTTTTCCTGTGCCCACGCTTTGTTATTACTTCATTTTCTGTGAGCCACAGGTGAGGTACTAGCCCTGGATGTGCAGCATTGGGGGAGCTAAAGGCAGGGAGGGGCAATGGTTATGAAGAACAACTCGGGCTGATAGGTATTTGTGAACTCCAAGGCCATATTTAATGCAATAGCTGGGCTGACTAGCGCCTTTTGCTGTCCAATACCTACTTGACACTTCTTTTTTCCTCTACTAAGGCCATCTTTAATTTCAAAGTGTCGCTTAACATGAGAGAGAGAGAGAGAGAGAGAGAGAGAGAGATTCTCTAGATCCATTACAGAAAGGATTTGTGAGCAGCTTATGAAGATTTCCTTAAATTCATATGGACCCAGCTGGAGCCAGTGAGATGTTGTTGAAGCTAGCTAGCAGAGAGAGGCCCATGTGAACGGAGCTTAGCAAAGAGAAGACATCCCCCTCCCCTGAAGCATCTGGATGATGGGTGGTTTGGTTGTAGGTACATTAATCATTTTGCGACCCAAAAGGGAAAATAAAAATCAAGAGTAGTAGAGATTTCAGCCCAGATATCATGGAGCTGAGAAAAAAGAATGACTGAATCTCGCCTTTGAACACTCTCATTTGATGGTGGTGAAATACTGTTTGTGTAAGTTCCTGTACTCACATTTCCTCCTGTTTGTTGAGAAACGTGTCCCAACAGACACGACAGCGTGGGGTTCACTACTCCAAGGAAAACCACATTTGGGAGGAGAGAAAGGATCTGGGGACTTTCGAGTGAGCTTCTCCTTGCCGACATGCGCTCAAGCTTCTGATGCAGTCACCCTGCCTGGCAGGGTCAGCACAGCACCAAACCAGGCGCTGTGATCATACTCGGAGCTGCCAAGCTCAGACCTGCTATCCATTTGCTTGCGTGGTCAAGAGTCTGCCCTATCTGGGCTAAGAAAGCAGAGCTCCGAACACTTCTGTGTCTCCCTACCTGAGCTGCCTCCTTTCCCACCCCTGGCACCAAGGTGTCTGCTACAGCGTCACCTGTGGCAGAGATGGATGGCAGAAGATAACATTATTTGAATATACAATCATCCTATAATTAACCAGGAATGACAATTATAAATAACTGTGTACCAGAGTTTCCAAGAAACCTGACACACAGTTCTTGGGTATGCTGGAACACTTCCAAGAAAAGTAAAGAAGTGAAAAATCTTTTAGAAGTCTTCAATTAAAATGTGTTTCAGTAAAAATGACTCTCATCATGCGTTTCGGGACACTTCACCCGTCGAACATTTGCCCTCGTCCGTCTTCTTGCCTCCAATTGTTTTTGCTGGTCAATTACAGCTATTTAGAATTGAGACCTTCACGTGTGACAAAAAGTCAACACGCATAAGGTTTGTACAGCCGAGGGAAGAGACCCCCAGTACAGGACTTTAATTACCTGGATCTTGGGACCGGTGTACAGCACGAGGGTAGTTTGACCTTTTCAGTCCCCTCTGCTCAGTACCCCACCCTACCATTCTCCCATCTTACTGCTGCCCTCCTATTTATCATAGACTTGTGTATGTGTGTGTGTGTGTGTAAGTATGTGTATGGATGAATTGTGTGTGTGTGTGTATGTGTGTGTATGTGTGTGTAAGTACGTGTATGGATGAATTGTGTGTGTGCACACATGTATGTAGGTGGCTTTCAGAGGCCAGAAGAGGGGTAAATCTGCTGGAGCTTGAGTTCCAGCCTGTTGTCACCTGACATGGGCGCTGGGAACCTGCGCTGGTCCTCTCTAACAGTAACCACTCAGCCATCTCTCCAACCAGATGGTCACTTTAGGTAGCAGATGGCATTCCTTGGGGACTTCAAATGGCATGAGAAAATGCTAGTGAGATGCGAAAGGACTTTGTCATTCAGTCTACTGAGGTGTCACTCTGAGAGCTGCCAAGGGAAGTTCAAGCTAACCGCTAACCTGCCTGTGAACTGACCATGGATGCAGTTGCACGGTTCTGAAAACCTAGGAGAAGGGCAGGAACTGGGGAAAGACAGCCAAGGTACATGATGCTAATTCCTCATGGAGCACATGTATTCACCTTTGCCATCACAGATAAATGATTGATTGGACATGCTAAGCAACCTGGCTTCTGTTCTTGATAGACGGGACTTACACCTAAAAATATGCAACAGATTTTACTTAAATTGACAGCAGGTTTCCTATTTTCTTGTTCAAAACCAATCCCCCAACACACAAGACTGCCAGTAACACACAGTAGGTGTGAATGTTGACTAATTACTTTTGCAGAGATGCAAGTTTGACATTATCATCACCTCTCCTTAGGTTGAAGAGACAGAGGTAGATCCGCGCAGAATGGACATCAAGGTGTATACAGCAGAGAAAGGCAGCCAGCGAGCATGATGGTCCCTGCCTGTGCCAGCCCTGCAGCGCACCCAGTGATCCCCTGCAGTGCTGCAGTGCCATTGGGAGGCCCTTTTGGGCTGCATGCCTTTCCAGAAAGAAGTGTCACACTGTCACATGAGAGAGAGAGGCTTCCATTTTCATACGCTCTCCACTTCAAAATAGAGAAACATTACAAATTCAAGGCTGAGTTAAAGAGATCGTTCGGGGGTTAGGAGCTCACATTGCAGAGAACCTGAGTTTGTGTCCCAACTCCAGGGCTCTGTTTGTGGGCACCTGTACTCATGTGCACATTCAAACAGACACACATTCACCCATACACACACACACACACACACTGAGTTGTCTAATTACAGAGTTTTAAGAAGTAACTCTAAAGAGATAAAAACCGTTAAGACTATCTTGAAGCCAATCAGTAAGACCCTTGAGGTTAGTGGCAGAGACCCTGCTCCTTAGCGGGGATCGGCAGGTTATTCCTTCAAAAATAGATTTGCAAAAATCGATGTTGCAACTGTACCAAAGAGGAAGGAAAGCTTCCCGGCAAAGGCAATGGCGATGCCTGCCACTCAAACAAGGGCACTAACCAGAATGGTGGAGTAAAATGCTCATGGATATGGATGTGGGATGAGAAGTGGCCTCAAGGACTCCCTGGCATGCACGCGCCTGGCCTAGAGGGAGCACAGGCGGCGGCACTGCTGTGACTTAAACAGAAGGCTGCCGAGTTACTGCAGCCGTGCAGGAGCGCAGCAGCTGATCTGTATTAGAGAAGATTAACTCCCATTGCCATGGTGGAGGACCTGGGATTATTTTATGTACTCCTGTTGCCTTACAAGCCGTCAGCACAATTATTGCCCTCCGATGTGAATGACTGATCTGTAACCACAACTAAACAGCTTGCTGCTTAGGGGCTTCGGGAACTTCATGAAGATGGATTTCCATACCATCAAAGTGCTTTTAATGGGCTCCCGGATCCAACCACAAGACCTATTTTGCAAGTATATAGAATTCGGGATGAAGGCTTCCTGTCCAAAAGGATTTGGGCGGTTGTCACTTGACAATTCCCAGCCAGCGCAGGGGAGGGGAAAGGGGGAGATAGGTAGAGTTGTCTCTGCTTTGGAGGATTAAAAACAAGGGGGAGGGTTACAGATGTTCACGGAATGCAACAATCTGCTGCATCCGCAGCTGAATTCAAAGCTCTTAACAAATAGTGGCGATTTAGCTGTGCTTGCGAGGAATGGTTCCCGTCACTTCGCGTTAGCATCTGGCCAAGTGTTAAACTCATTTCCACGCAGGGAGCAGGGGAAAGGGTTTCTTGCTGGAGCGCCTTTCAAGAATGTTCAAATATTTGAACATAAATCCCTTCATGCTTGCTATCATTCCTTCTTAGGGCTGCCACCATGTTTCTTTCTGCCGTCCCTTCCTGTCCCGATGTCTCACTTGGGCTACAGGAATTGGGAGAGCTGCGCTGCAGGCTTGCCGGACGGCATCCTGGTCCTGCTGCTGCTGCTGCTTCCGGAGAGGAAGCAGAAGTGGGCTTGTTTCTCCATCCTGGAGATTTCCTCATGTGAGGACCCAAGAGAGCAGCAGCTGGGGAGGGTCATGCCCCAAGTTGGCCTGTGCTCTCCTCGGGGCACTTAGCTTTCCAGTTCTCTATAACTAGAGAGGTAACCGTCGGGGCAAGCTGCTCATTCGGAGAAGTTTCTGCCAGACTTCGGTGCCCCTCAGGAGGATGGACGTGTAAACCACTGATACACAGCTGGCCACACCCCGCCCCTTACCTACAGTATGCACAGGACGATAAGAATTCATTCAACATCCCACACTTTCATTCCGATACTACCTAAAGAAGTACACCGCTCCAAGCATGCTGTAGTGACATTTTTTCCCCCTAAGTAAAACAAAGCTTACATGCAAATAAAAAGGCATGGAGCCATCATGTCTCTGGCTAGTTCAGATGCTCTGCTGGCTTTGGGTAGAATACAGAAGGTCAAAGCACATTTTGTGTCATGATGAAGTCAAACTTTCCAATTCTGTAGTCCCTAACACTTGACAGGAGCAACATTATGACAGGCTCAGGAGCCAGGGTATCATCCAAGCTTAGGCCGACTAAAGAAGATTCCGTGTTTTCAAATCCAGCTGATCCCCAAATACAAGCTAAGTATCTCTGGAAGGCAAAACTTTCCCTCAGACACAGCATTGCAAACGCCACTTTGTTTTAATACACGCTGGCAGCAAAAGGGCAGCGTTCATCCCCCGTAAGGTCTGGGGTGCAATAGTGTAAAACTTCCCGCTGCTAGACTGTTTGGATTTGGATGGGCTCCGGATCTCCTTGCCGATGGGAGACGGGCACGGAGGAGCCATCATTCTGGAGACAGTCAGGAGAAGGATGGGAGAAGGAGAGCATTCCCGCGCTCACAGCACTCCGCAGAGGAAGGCAAGATAGTCAGGAAAAGGATGGGAAGAGGAGAGCATCCCTGCCCTCACAGCACTCCGGAGAGGAAGGCGCTCCCTGCACTAACCTTTTCTGTCCGGCAGTTGTTGAGACCTATGCTATTCACTACGGCCACCTTCCCGTCCAGCGCCTGCTGCTCCCGCCTGAGTTGCTCCTTCATCTGGCGAGCTTCTTGGATTGCCTTGGTGACAGCATCATGGTCATTTAAATAACCTGGGGATGAGACACAACAGATATACAAACTGCACGGGAGAGGGACAGGCTGACTTTGGCCATGGCCGTTACTTCTTTCGGGGAGTGGGGTGGTGGCTAGGAGATGGCAGAACCTAGTGTCTTCATGGAACTTATCTGTAATAAATGAATGAGCACGCAACTGGGGGTGACTGATTCACGTAGTCATATCTGAAAATGCTGCCAAATAACCATAAAAAAATAGGCGTACACCATGTTTAGTTACTTCTAAATACAAATTTAAAATAAAATTTTACCTAGGTTTTTAGGTCAATACCTGAGTGAATTTGTTTTAAATTTGCAAGCATGTACTTGTGTGTGCATGTCTCTGTGTGTTTGTATGTGTGCATATTTATGTGAGCGCAGCGTCCACACAGGCCAGAAGAGATTCTCAGACTCCCTGAAGCTGGAGTCATACATGTCTATGAACCACTTAACATGGCTACTGGGAACCAAACTGGGAACCTCTGCAAGAACAGTACATGCTCCTAACCATGAAGCATTGAGTCTTCCAAAGCTTGAATATATGGCTTTATTTTACTCCCATGCAGAGGTCATGTGCATTCTACCATAGATCTGTGCCCTGGGAATCACCATGACTACCAAGTCTCTCAGATATCAGAAGAGTCAGGTCAGAGTTTGTGGCTAGTACAATCAGGCCTGCGAAAGACAGATGGAATAAATCTTTATTAGCTGACTGGAAGAAACACCACCCCCCTCCACCACCCGTAAATTCACTTGCTATGGAGCTGAACCACGGGTGGCAGTGGTTTGCTGTGTATCTAAATTCCTAAGGACCATGAGACTAGACTTCAAGCACAGAATGGCACTGGGAGCCTGCAACTGGTAAGGCAATGTGGGTACTGCTAACTCTAGTCTTTCTGAACTCACTCTCAACAGTCAAGTGAGCAGCTGCCATCTGAAACTCCCCACCCCAGGCTTAGAGAGAGCCCCCGGAAATAGTTTTGAAGGGTGGTAAGAAAGGGAGCGAAGGGATTCTAAACTGATTTCAACTCAACTGTTGCCCTTTATTTATTTATTTGCTCCTCATTCCTGTGCAGAGTTGCATTATTTTAGGGTAGGGCATTGAGAGGGGAAAAAACAGCGCATTAGCAAATATTTAAAGGATGGCTAATATTCTGTTTCTCTCTCTCTCTCTCTCTGTCTTTTAACTGGGGCATAAAATGGCATGGGATGGATCTGTAATATGAAATTGCCCAGAAAAGGGACTTGTTTGTGACATGAGGCTAAATCTAAGCAGATCCATTGGCGAGCTGTGACAGATGGAGGACTATGAGACAGAAGGCAGGCACTAATCACACAGAAAATGACCGGCTTGCCTCAACATGTTCCACGAATTCCAGCAAACTTTACACCCTAATCCATTTTTAGAACAAAAAACATCTGGGCCATAAATCCTCTAATCTGCCAAAACACGCTATTAAATCCCACGATTTGTTGAAAAACACTAAGATTAAAGAAAGGAAATATAAAATGGCTAGCTGCCGTGCTCCGAAAGTGTTATTAATACTCTTTCTTTGTGTCATTATGAATGTTCTGGTACTAAAGAGCCTTGTCTAATCATGTCAGATTACACACACCCTCATTGCTTAGCTCTTCTGTCTGACCCGCTGATTGCCAAAACACATCAAATAGTTCCTTGCTGCTCAAAAATTCTACCGAGAGATGGATGGGAGTTCGACAGAGGGAGGATGGCTCCTCGGTGGTCCCTGGCCTTCCTCATCACAGACAAGTCCTGGTCCCAGCATCTTCTCAGGTCCCCGTGTGTTTCAGATGAGATCACACAAAGCGTGGATCTTGAGAATGGTAACTTTGCTTTTCAGAAGTAATCACTGTTATTGATCCAAACAATAAAACGCTGCTTCAGATACCCACAGTCTGAACTGGGAACAACTATCTAGACCGAGGACTATATAAAGTGTTTACCTGTTGCCGAGGAAGGACCTGCTTACTATGCCACTGCCCTCGGCATCCTGAACAACCTTCTCAGTATGTTATCCCCCCAATGTATTCTGTAACTCTGGGTGGGAATCCAGCCCTTCTGTGATAAGCTTGGGCGTGTTTGTTTAGGCAGATCCTGAGAGGACCAGCCTGCTTGTCCTGGCCCCTGACCCCTGTCTCTGCTCAACCTGGCAATGTGTGTCTTTTATACTCTATTTAGTCTCTCTATGGTCTGTTTAGCTTCTCCAGAACACAAATATATTTGAGACGGTTTAGCACATGGTGTTGAATAAAACCATGAGTTCTTTAAGCTTTTTACAGACGGCCAAGATAGGACAGTGTAGGAAAACAGTTAATATGGATGCAAGGGGAATGCAAGGGGTGATGGAGGTGATTAACTGTAAACTGCCTGCAACAGAGGCCACTTTGACTCTGCCGAGTGTGGGTTCGGGCTCAAATAGGCGCTGGCTCTAAAATAAACATTGCTTTTAGAGACCCTTGTGTTTCAGTGGTAATGCTGTGTTAGGTTCTAAAATTGGTATCTGCTCTGCTAAATCTTAAAGCCATTTATATGTTAGAGTTCAACCACAGCATGGCTGTGTTCACTGTGTCTATATGATTTCATCTTATCACATCCCCCTAATGTCTTTCTTCTCCTGCTGGCTCCCATATCAACCCATGTCCTTGTCTCCAGCTCTAGAAAGAACGGTTGGCTATGGTGCCAACCTTTCTACCCTCACCCCCTCTCCTACCCTTCTAACTACATTTCCATCCCTGTTTCACTGAAAGTGGTAGCTTTCTTTCTAGTCATCAGAGATGCCCTAGACTCAAGTTCTAGATTTTTCTTGCTCCCCATTTAAGTTTCTTATATTTAAACCATCTTTCTCCTAACCCAGCTCTCAGCATGTGAGGTTATCTCCCCCCTTCAAACAAGCAAGTATGGCTAGAGAGATGGCTCAGAGGTTAAGAGCACTGACTGCTCTTCCAGAGGTCCTGAGTTCAATTCCCAGCAACCACATGGTGGCTCACAACCGTCTGTAATGAGGTCTGGTGCCCTCTTCTGGCTTGCAGGCATACACACAGACAGAATATTGTATACATAACAAATAAATAAATATTCTAAAAAAAAAAAAAACAAGCAGGTAAAGATTGTCCTCAAACTTTCTTCTTTAGGCTTTCTCCCTTTCGAAACCCAGCTTCCCAAAGCTACTGCACGCGCCCTGCCCTCTTCCGTTCTCTCCTCACTGGCTGCCTGGAACTAACACGGCTCTGCTGCTTCCCGTATTCTCTGAGTTGCTGGATTTCAAAGTATTTCCCCTTGCCTGCAGATTGGCCCTCCTGGACACCCTGACAGTGTGGACTCTCCTCACTTCACAGGTCAGAAAGTATGCTCCTCATCCTGCCGCCATTTCCTCTTCGCCTCCATATTTTTGCCTCAGAAAGTTTCTTCAGCTGCTCCTTAAATTTTGGTGCAGCTTCCCAGTCACTAAGGAAACCAATTGTGACCTAAAACCTTAGCTTGGTCACGCAGCAACCCCTCAAGTTGACTTTCCTCTCAACTGCTTCACTGCTTAAATGAGAGGATACGACATCAGCAAACGGTGTCAAGATCAGCTGAGTTGATGCAGTCTGCCGACATAACAACTGTCCCGTGACAGCGTTCACCGTCAGTTTTCTGTTTACAAAAAGGCCTGGCGAAGGAAGCCGAATCAGCAGACTGGATTCCAATGGATCTGGGTTTCTATTTCTGGAAGGTGTGATAGTTGACAAATTGAAACAATCTCCCTGGCTTCCATTTTTCTCAGCTGTGAAACCAATGCAGCGCTGATGAGAGCCTAAGTGGAGCCACGTGCGAGGGAGGGACGGGCACTTGGCCTGTGAGGAGGTACTTCATCCCCATAACTGCTTTTCCACGTGCCCTCTCTGAATCCGCCTGGCACTCTTGTGGTGGTCATGGGAATGAAAACTGTGAAGGTATGGCATTCAGGGTTGGCATGGACATCCGTGTGTGGGCGTGGGCTGTTTATTCAGGAGAAGAGGACTTGCCTGGCACACAGGGCCCTGGGTTTGATCCCCAGTGCTAAATAAGTAAACAGAAGTTCAGAAATGCAAGCCTGTCTGCTAGAGATCAAAATGCCACACCAAAAAATGGCCATTTGATAAGTGGTCATCTGCTTTTTGTTGCTGTTGTTTGTTTTTTGTTGATTGTTTTTTTGTTTCGTCTTTGTCTACAGACTTAGGCAGCAATTACATCTATAACCAGGATCTACGCATGTAGTTTAACAGACTCCAGGGGGGGAAGTTGGAAGGCTACAGACAGTATGACTTCTAGTTGATATTTTGAATGAGATAACTAATGTTGAGTCTAAAACTTTAACTCCCATTTTTTTTGATTTTTTTCACATGCCTTCGTGTTTTACATGTACTGCTAAAAACACTCTGAAAATTTCCTCCCTCCCTTCTTTCTGTCTCTGTCACCCTCTCTCTCCCCGCTTCTGTCTCTCTGTCTCTGTCACCCTCTCTCTCCCCGCTTCTGTCTTTCTGTGTCTCTGTCTCTCTCTCTCTGTCTGGTGTGTATATGTGTGTGTTTCTGTGTGTATGTGTACGTGAATATGCCTAGGTGAACATGCATGTGAACGCCAGGACTCAACTTCAGGGATCATCTACCTTAAATTTCGAGACCTGGTCTTCCAGTGTCGCACGTTGCAAGGCTAAGCTGCTTAAGTGGGCTCCAGGGACTGAATAAGCTCTTCGTGCGTACAAGTCAGGAACTAATTTCCTCGCCCGCCATCTATATTCTTCATTGTTTCTCTCAGAATTGAGAGATTATCCCACATCGATATACACATACATGTAGAAAAACAAATACAAGCAACTATTGCCAGCTGCATTCCCTAGTTAGTGCTCAGATAGCTTCCCACTAGGCTCCTCTACCTGCGTGCCCTATGAGGCCCATCAGGCAGTCTGTGTATCCCAGAACTTATTATCCCCTCCTGCCCCAGGCCGCCCTTCCCGTATCC